ATCTTAGAGAGTGCCCTGGGCATCATCTCTCTCCCTTTTGTTCTCATTCCAGTGGTCTGTGCTTATTGGTTTAATAAATTCCCTGAAATTAACACTTCCTAGTGGATTAGAATCACTCAAATTCACATTGAGTGTTACGAAGCAGAGGTTCTATACTCGGCTTCTAAATCCTTACAACAGTGCGACAGGGTATTAGAGAAGGCTTAACCCAAGGGCATAAAATTCAAAGTGGTGGCATTTCACATGTGTGGGGGGCTTGCTTGATGAGAGAGAGTTTGTTTCTCAAGCCTGAGGGTAATCACTGAATTATTGTAAGCTTATGAAATTTTCAAAGGAATGTAGAGAAATTTGCTGTGATACAACTCTTGTCTAATCAGTGACACAACTTGAGAGCTAATAACGTTTGTACACTAGCATATCCTTTCCATGACATCTGAATTGCGCTGCTAAATATTGTGCTCAACCATTCTGGGAAATGACATTTTGGGGTGCTGAATGACAATACATCTTGTTTATACGGCGTTACAAGCCAAAGTCCTACTTGTTACAAAGAAACGTCTTGACTGTCAAGAGTCTGCCTGTTTAATATTTGCATGATCTAAGCTAATTGTTTTTCTTCCCCCCTGCTTTGTGAACTTTGGTAAGGTACCAAAATAGTTAAAATAATTTAGACAAAGGAAATTGAGCTTAAGTAAAATACTTATCAGTCTATGTTGTCTGGAAAAATTCTTGGTAGAGAGCATAGAATGAGTTTTTAAATTTATCTTTGGATTTCAATTATGCATGCCACTCCTATACCCCATCACTGTATATAATTAGGAACTGGCTGTATATTCCATAGTGACACAGGCTGTAATTATTGGTTGTGATCTGCAATTCTCATTTAACCTAAGTTAAGATAGTAGAAGTTGGGCCATTTTTCACCTGTTCCACTCAATTCCAGTTTGATTTCTTTTGAACTACTATGAAATATGCAATATTATCACTGGTAGTGACACTGATATGTCACTACTTATATGACAATTACTGCTTACAAGTAGAAATGGTTGCTTTCCTCATTGAGCTGTACCCTGGGATCCTATCACATGCAGTCGGCCACACAGTATGTACAACTTGCTATTTTTGTTCTGTTTGTATATTTTATAGAGGCTTTGACATTTGAAAAATATGGAACATTGAGGGGTAAATTTAAGAAAATATTTGTTAATGCTAATTGAATCTACCTTACCCTATTTGACGATCTGATGATTTTATAAATATTTAGCTCTTTCCTCCATCTCTCTCTGGTTGTGTTTTATTGTTCTGCATTCCAAGCCTGTGGACATTTTTGTCTTGTGTTCAACAATGTGAATCAAATATTTGAGACTCAAAGTGGTGTGATGATTCAGCTCACTGCTCTAAGTAGTGCTATACCTAAACCATTTGAGTAGTCAGCTTTGAAATTTCTCCAAGAGAGGAAATCTCATGAATTGGCTCAAATGTAACTTTGTCTCCTAGAGAAGCCTTCTTTGTCTCCTCTGACTAGCACCTCCTCCTCCCTTCCATAGTGTTTTGGGCAGTTAATGCATTCATTCCACAAATAACAGAATAACTTTTGATTCATGGCTTTCTCCCTCCAAGCTGAAAACTTGATGGAGGGTAACATGATCTTTGTTTCCCACTGCGTCATCTGTGAATATACATTGTGAGTATTGAACAAATTTTTACAAAAAGAACAAATACTTTGGTAAACAATTTTTTATAACTGTCACTCCTAGAACCTGAATTGAGTTTAAAATTCTTCTTCTGGAGATCAGATTGTAGTATGATTGCTGGGAACTTTTAAAGTGGGTGGTAATACTATGTTTTGTTTTGCTTCATTAACCTTCTATCTACTTGTCTTTATTTTGGAAATCTTTTAAAATGAAGATAAACTACAGTTATAAAGCATCATTTTCATTTTTAAAAAGTAAAATGCATGTGTATAGTCATAACTTGATTACTCAGTTAACTTGCTTTCATCTTACTGTAAACACTATCATCTTTAACCATTTCTTCTTTATTCAAGTCACTTGCTTCTATCTTTCCATGTAGATCTAATATTAAAAGATTTTATTGGAATGCTGCAGCTTTCCAGTAAGATCTGTCCACATTCTCTCTTTATAAAGTTATAGAGTAGAGGGCAAAGAGTATTTGAGTTATACTCTGTTTAATATTGAAGAATAATGCATTTTTTTCACCCTAGTTCCCACCCAAAGTAGGTAAATAACAATCAGAATCATCCTCTCAAAATTCTGACCTCAGAATTTCCTAAGAAATGTGAACCTGTAGGAGTTCTTTGCTTTCGATCTTCTTTTCCTGTTTTTCATTCCAAGGCCACTGGTCTTACATTCTAAATGGAAGAACATAGAGTCCTACAATCTCGGGATGGAAAGTATATTGAAGGTCACGTAGTGCAAATACTGGGTAATTGAATGCCTTTGGTAACACCCCTGTAAAGTCTTCGTCTAGCCTATTCTTGGAAACCTCCAGTGATCTAACACGTCCTTTCCTGCGGCAGCAGATTCTATCTTTGTTGTCAGCTTTGACTCCTACAAACTGGTTCCTTGCAGTGAGCTCTAACTACTCATAGTTTCCACATATTTTTTCTGCTTTACCCTTTGGGCTCATAAAGAGCAAGTTGAACCCATCTCTCTCAGTCAGTTTGGGGTGCTATAACAGAAATGCCGTAGACTTCATAGATTAAACAGCAAACATTTATTTCTCACAGTTTGGGAGGTTGAGAAGTCCAAGCTTGACAGCACATCTGGTGTCTGATGAATGCCTGCTTCCTGGCTTGTAGGCAGCTGTCTTCTCATATCCTAACAGGGTGGAGAGAGTAAGCTGGTACCCTGGCCTCTACTTATAAGGGCACTAATCCCATTCATGAAGGCTCTACCCTCGTGACCTAATGACCTCCCAAAGGCCCCACCTCTGAATACCATCACATTGGGGATTAGATTTCAACATATGAATTTTGGGGGGGACACAAACCTTCAGACCATAATGCCATTTTATATAGTATAGCCCATGTGAAGGTGACACTCATGTTTCCTCAAAGTCTTTTTTTCTCTCGGCTAACCCCTTTCAGTTCCTCAGTGGTTCTCCATGTGACCTGATTTCACATCTCCTCACCATCCTAGTTCCTCTGAATAGATTTGTTTTGCTTGTCTCTGCAGCATCCAGCACTGTGTGATACTCCAGGTGTGCTCTGATGAGCTGAGAGTAGGCTGTATCACCTTCCTCAGTTCAGATATTATACTCTCGTTAGCATATCTAGCAACAAAAGAGTTGAAATGTCTGACTATGGACAACGACTGGTCAGATACAACGATTCTTCTCATTTTATTTCTTTACCATTTTACTTCTAGGTATCCTTAAATGTGTCGACTTTGTTGGATACAGTTTTAAAACTCTGTTAATTGGAAAAAAAAAAAAAAACTTCATTTCAGAGCTTGGATCTTGCATCATACTTAATAGAGAATGGTCTCAGACAAGTTCATTAACCTTTCTAAAGCAGCAGTTTTATAGTATTTACCTTACAAGATTATCGTGAGGACTAAATTAGTTGTGAAATGCTCACATGTAAAGTATATATTAAAGTGCTTAAGCACATGGTGAGTGCTCAGTGCATGTTAGTGATAATAATCTTTACAATTGTTACTTATTCCAAGAGTTCTTGGAAATGCTTATTTTAATACTGAACAAATAGGAAGGGTTGTGGCTTCATTATATTTTTAGTATCATCTAACATATCTAATCTAGACCTACAAGAATAAAAGCTATACATAAAAAATTCACCACCGCACATTTGTTCAAACGCCTTGACAAATTAGAACGAAATAGAACAAAGTTCTGACATTAGTTATTCATTTCCAGTAAGAGAACAGGTGATATGTTATAAAGAATGTTGACTTCTCATGTCTTTAATATTAAAAATAATTGTATTATCTTTTTACCAAAATGATTATTTCTTTTATATAAATCTAAGAACTGCTGCTATCTGCCATATTTTGGAAAGATTACAGTTTTTGAAAATATGGAAGCTAGTGATCATTTTTGTCCTTTAAAATATTTGTTTCTGCTGATATATTTCAGCACCACAGCCTGGCCTTTTCCAGGTTAAGATGCTGAGCCAAACCTCAGAGTCTCTGCAAAAGAGAGTGGAGTCTCCCCCGCCCTATAATTTAGTTAGTGGGAACCACAGCTGGTAAATCTTTGGGGGGAAACTATTTTCAACTATTTAAAAACGTTTGTATCAGGAAAATAGAAATACATTTGTGTCAGTCTTAGAACCAAGTGAACAAGTTGAGGGTTGTGGGTCAATTCCTCAGGTGGTGAGGTACAGTTTAGTAGCAATAAAAGACTGACTGAACACCTGTAGGATCCAGAGGCTGTCAGATACGTTTTGGATAAATCACTCCTCTTTAGTGTCTTCCATTAAGAGGTGTAGTTGGATGGTAAGGATGTTTATTAAGTGCTTTTTTAAAGATGCCTTTTTAATTTACTGTTGAAAGAATATTCATAGCAGAAGCGATCTTTGATATAAGCCATATTTCAAGAATAATTATTATCATGTCCTTTTTATAGCAGCTCTTACACACACACACACACACACACACACACACACACACACACACATACACCCCAATGGCTTGTTAGACCAGCTTGTACTGGCTCACAAAAGCTTACTGTTAACTTTTCAGGAGTTTTGTATGCTGCTTAATCTCAGACAACTAGCTTGAAATTTGCCATGGAAATGGGAGTAGTTACATCATGGAAATTGGTGAATGCTACAAATCAAAGCCCTTTTTTTTTTTTTTTCCTCGTGGACAGCTGGTTGTTAAACACTTACCAGCACAACTATGCCCCAAACTCTTTCCTCAAATAAAATAAAGGGCTGTTAGCATTGAAGATGGTTTTAGTGTGAAAGTTTATATGAGAAAAAGAATAAATTGTTTTTTTTTCCCCTGTGTTCTCAGGGATACGGAAAGACCGCAGAGGAGGGAGAATGCTGAAGCACAAGCGCCAGAGAGATGATGGGGAGCGCAGGAACGAAGCGGAGCCCTCTGGAGACAGGAGATCTGCCAACCTTTGGCCGAGCCCACTCTTGATTAAACACACTAAGAAGAACAGCCCGGTCTTGTCCCTGACAGCCGATCAGATGATCAGTGCCTTGCTGGAGGCTGAGCCGCCCATAATCTATTCCGAGTACGATCCTACCAGACCCTTCAGTGAGGCTTCAATGATGGGCTTGCTGACCAGCCTTGCAGACAGGGAGCTGGTCCACATGATCAACTGGGCAAAGAGGGTGCCAGGTAAGAACACGAAGCTCGACTGTTTTTTTCAGAGCCATTAACTATTCATGAACTGGTTGCGGTATCATGGGAGAAACAGTGGGAAAAAATAGTTTGTCATCTAATTGGTTTCAAGGTTACATCAGAATTGGTTAAAATTTTTCAGTATCCCGACACTGTAATTCTCCTGGAAGTTAGGATATAATGTTTTGAAATCAAAATCTAGATGATTAAAGTCTTTAATCTGGCTTTTTTTTTTTTTAAACGCAAACAGAGCTCTTTTTTTGAAGATGTCGGGGGTAGGAGTTTATTAATTAATTTATATATTTTTGCTGTGTTGGGTCTTCGTTTCTGTGCGAGGGCTTTCTCTAGTTGTGGCAAGTGGGGGCCACTCTTCATTGCGGTGCGCGGGCCTCTCACTATCGCGGCCTCTCTTGTTGCGGAGCACAGGCTCCAGATGCGCAGGCTCAGCAGTTGTGTCTCACGGGCCCAGCCGCTCTGTGGCATGTGGGATCCTCCCAGACCAGGGCTCGAACCCGTGTCCCCTGCATTAGCAGGCAGATTCTCAACCACTGAGCCACCAGGGAAGCCCTGACATTATTTTTAACCCATCAGTATTCACCAAAAAATTGGGGGTGGACTCTAGGTAATAAATGCATTTAATATTATATGTTCACAGTGGCAGAAATTTTTAACACTAAGTGATCTATGCCCTATACATTTTTAATATTGAGGATTTTTCTTCAAAACACCTAAATTATGAATCATCAATTTTACCTTAAAAGATTTTAAGTTTTATTTTAAGGTATTTATAGACTAAAGAGATAATTTTTTTTTTTTTTTTTTTTTTTTTTACTGAATGCCACTTATTCATTCAACTGTCTAGTCTTAATATTTTAGGACAAAGGTAATACAATAGAAAAATATGTTAAGTTCTCATCCCTGAGAGGAGCTTGTAGAAAGAAGACAGTGGCTGAAGTGATACTTGGTCCTTCAGTTGATACTCAGAACTGGTGTTCCCGTAAAACTTGACTGTTGCTCTTGTTGTTCAGGGAGAAGAACTCTAGTTATTATGGAAACAAGACTAGAAAATGACCTCCTCCATGCCCCATCATATCCATTCAGGAGCTAACGTAGATGAACCAAGGCAAGAGGAAGTTAAATCTTTTTTTCTGGGCTTATAGATCAAATGAGTAATGAATTTAGGCAGCGATTGTCTTGTGTGCTCTCTCTTAATAGATTAAGTTAATTATTACCTATGAAGCAGGGGACTTTTTTTTTATTAAACTAAATAAATGTGGAGTTTTGTACTTGCATTTTAGAGATCTATTATAGGCCAAGAAAAACATGTACCTGGCCTTAGATACTGGTTCATGTATTTGCATTTCTTAACATATGAACACGTGGTCCTTTGAATAAGGAGCCAGCAATGTTGTGATCCAAACTTGGTAGAGGGCATCTATTTAGGTAGCAGAGGTTGGGTTACATGGAAACATGGGGATTAACAGGCATATTTAGATTTCAGACTCAGTCCAACTGGCAAATAAAAATTCCCAGCCATCTTTGGAATTAGGAGTTTTAATGAGCACTTACCTAACTTAGCATTCCCATGTGAAGCAGATCCATGTTAAGTAAATATTGGAATTTACATGTAATGTGGTTTTAGGTTTTATCTTTATCTTTATTATTGCCTTTGTTTAAAAAAATACTTTGGGAGAAGAGGAAAGAACAAACGAACAACTAAGGGTCATATCCCTGAGAGCCAACTCTAGTTACTATTAAATTTTATTGTCCTATAAGCATATATTTTTCTGAATGAAGTTTTGGTAATACTAGTTCTAGAACACTGTTGAAGTCAAGTATATATTTTTCATACTTATCAGTAGACTTCCATCATGACATTTTTATAATTATAAAAATTTGAAGGGCATTTGAAACAATGAGAACTAAGTTCAAATACGTTACCAGTGGATGAAAATTTCATGGCAATAATCTTCTGAATTTAGGAATAAAATGGAGCTGGAAATCGAGGGAAGGAAAATATTATGTCCATGCTTAGCCATCCCATTGTTAAACCCAGAACTAAACAAATTTATGATAATGTGATGTGTAGCAAAACCACTCTATAACTTGATTATATTAGTTTAAAAGACCTGAATGATTCCAAAATCCTTGGACTAAACTGTATCTTGTTACTTGATGGTTTAAAAAAATAATAATTATAAAGGCAAAAATGAAATTATATATATGCTATTGGAATATAGCTGTTGTAAATCAAAAGCCTAGTAGTCTGACCAAGCAGAATAAAAAGAGTCATTGATTTTAAAAAGATGAAAAATGAGGGAAGAAAAAAATGTCTTCTGGAATCATCTTTGAAGACGATTGTCAAGCTTCTCAGAAAATTTGACAAAGTCACATTTTGAAAAGCTTTTTTTGTATCCAGATACTCTCTGTCATGAAAAACATAGTTCACACCGAAAATCTAATATAGACAACATTACATTTATATGGTCACAGTTTGAGAATAATAATAGTAATAATTTAATATAGAGGGAATAGAAAACATCATTAGTAAGAAGGGCAGTGAGAAAGCAGTTGCAGAAGTACCTAGAATTATCTGTGTGATACAAAAACCTGCATAAAACATTTGGATACCCTCAGATGGCTATCAGCATAACAGAGATTGTGAATTGACTTCATTTTTTAAAAATTTCAGCATTAATGGAGTATAATTGACAAATACAATGATATTTAAAGTGTACATTATGGTAATTTGATATACTTAGACATTATAAAAGGATTCCCTACATCTAGTTGATTAAACATCCATCACCTCACACATTTACTTTTTTTTTTCTGATGAGAGCATTTCAGTTCTACTTTCTTAGCAAATCCATTATACAATACAGTTTTTTGAATTATAATCACCATGTTTTATATTAGCTCCTCAGATCTTTTTCATGTTATAGCTGAAAGTTTATACTCTAACCAACCTCTCCCTATTTGTCCCATCCTCTAAACCCTGGCAACCACTTTTCTACTCTTTTTGTGAATTTGACTTTTTTTTTTTTAGATTCCATGTATAAGTGATACCATGCAATATTAATCTTTTTCTGACTGGATTATTTCACGTAGCATAATACCCTCAAGGTCCATCCATGTTGCCACAGATGGCAGGATTTCTTTCTTTCTTGTAGCTGAATAATATTCCATTATATATCTATGTAGATATAGATTTTTTGTTTTGTTTTGTTTTTTTGGCGGTACGCGGGCCTCTCACTGTTGTGGCCTCTCCCGTTGCGGAGCACAGGCTCCGGACGCACGGGCCCAGCTGCTCCACGGCACGCGGGATCTTTGTGGACCGGGGCACGAACCCATGTCCCCTGCATCGGCAGGCAGACTCTCAACCACTGTGCCACCAGGGAAGCCCATCTATGTAGATATAGATTTATCAGATCTTCCTTATCCCTTCATCTGTTGACGGTCACTTAGTTCATTTCCATATCTTGGATATCTTGGCTATTCGAATAATGCTGAAATGAACATGAGACTACAGATATCTCTTTGATATCCTGTTTTCAGTTCCTTTGGATATACATCCAGAAATGGGATTGCTGGATCTTATGGTAGTTCTACATTATTTTGAGGGGTGGAACTCTTTACTGTTTTCCACAGTGGTTGCACAAGATTACAATCTCACCAACAGTATACAGGATTCCCTTTTCTCCACATCCTCACCAACAGTTGTTATCCGTTGTCTTTTTGATGATAGCCAACTTAACAGGTGTGAGGTGATATCTTATTGTGGTTTTGATTTGTATCTCCCTGATGATTGGTTGAGGATATTTTTATGTACCCATTGGCATTTGTATATCTTCTTTGGAAAAATGTATATTCAGTTCCTCTGCCCATTTTTTAATCATAGGGTTTTGTTTTTTTTTTTTGCTATATGTGCTCTTCATATTAACCCTTTATCAGATACATGATTTGCAAATATTTTCTCCCATTTGGTAAGCTGCCTTTTTGTTTTGTTGATGGTTTCCTTTGCTATGCAAAAACTTCTTAATGAAGTCTCACTTGTTTATTTTTGCTTTTGTTGCCTTTGCTTTTGGTGTCAAATCCAAAAAAGACTATTGCCAAGATTGATGTCAAGGAGCTTTTCCCGTGTTTTCTGCTAGGAGTTTTATAGTTTCAGGTCTTACATTCATGTCCTTAATCCATTTTGAATTGATTTTGTGTGTGTATGTGTGTGAGTGGTATAGATAGGGGTCCAGTTTCATTCTCTTGCATGTGAATATCCAGTTTTCCTAACATATTTTGAAGACACTATCCTGTTGCTATTGAGTATTCTTGGTTCTCTTGTCAAATATTAGTTGACTGTATATGCATGGGTTAATTTCCGGGCTCTCTATTCTGTTCCCTTGATGTACCTTTTTTTAATGCCAATACCATGCTGTTTTGATTACTATAGCTTTGTAATATAGTTTGAAATCAGGAAATGTGACACTGATGCCTACAGCTTGGTTTTTCTTTCTCATGATTGCTTTGGCTACTTGGGATCTTTTGTGGTTCCATAAAATTTTAGGATTTTTCAAATGTTTTTGTAAAAAATGCTATTGAGACTTTCATAGGAATTTCATTGAAACTGCAGATTGTTTTTGGTAGTATGGGCAGTTTAACAGTATTATTTTTTCCAGTCCATGAGCATAGAATATTTTTCTATTTCTTTGTACCTTCTTCAGTTTCTTTCATCAATGTCTTATAGTTTTCAGTGTTCAGATCTTTCACCTCCTTGGCTAAATTTATTCCTAGGTATTTTATTCTTTTTAATGCAGTTGTAAATAGGATCATTTCATTCATTTGTCTTTTTGATAGTTTGTTGTTTGTATATAGAAATGCAACTGCTTTTTGCATATTGCTTTTGTATCTGGCAACTTTACTGAATTTATTCTAATAGTTTTTTGGTGGAGTCTTTAGGATTTTCTATGTTTGATGTCATGTCATCTGCAAATAGAGACAAT